CATTCCAACTTTCAGCATCTTCGGGAATCTCCAACGGCTCAATGTGCGCATACACATCTTCACTGAGTGCAGACAAGACAGCACGATGCTGCCGAACAGCATCTGAAAAAAAAAAGGAGCTTTGCAAGTTAACTTCCACAGCTCGTACAGTCGGGCAGAAATGAGCGACCAGTAAGACAGATCAGGTTTCCGAAAACTCTGCGCCTGCACACTGCGAGTCATCAGAGATACGTCTTTGCGCTTTAGCATACTGCCGCGACCGAGGTAACGAGGGCGATTGGTGATAATGGCGCACGCGCGTGAACAAGCTTGCAACTCCATAGCCCGAGACCAAGTCAGATATTGCATACCTAACTCACGAGACACATATTCCTTTGAGTGCTCATTCATGGCCTCGTGAAGGTCCTCAGGCATGACGAGGGGGGCCTCCAGGAATTCAGGAGCGGCAGCAGCCATATAAGTAAGCCAGTGATTATCATGACCATAGGCCTCAGGGGTCTCCAGGGGCTTAACTCTCTGGCACTGGGGCTCCACCATGGCTTCCAGATCCAAGACAACATCCAAGCACGCGTGCGTCTTGAACGGGGACCCCAGGTCGGCAGACACCTTAAGGTAGGGGAAGAGCAGGTGGGAGCAGAGCACATAGTCAATCGTCGCCCCACCGACGGTGCAAGTGAACTCAACATTGCTGGGAACAAGTGGCCTAGCACCCAAGAGCCCCAGGATCCCCGCATCCCTCAGAAAGTCAACCGACATGTTGAAATCTCCCATCAGAAGCCAGGGAATCGAGAGGCCCCGAACAAATTCAGCAACTCCTCGAAGCCGATCCGAGTTGATCCCAGACACTCCAATAGACGGCACCAAGTAGATCACACTTACAGCAACAGTGCACGATTTCAACCGCATTTCCAAGAATAACCAGCATTCACCTGATCCTACCTGAACCGCTCCTTTCAATTGAACGAGAAACTTACGAAAGCAGAGACGTGGCTGGACAGCCGCTGCGACTCCACCATGTGTGCCTCCACCTGGCGATGCCAACGCATCCTGAAAGTGTGGGGACCACTTCATATGTCGACAAGTCTTCTTGGCCAGAAAGCAGCCTGGCCCTCGCTGATGATGCTCAGCCAGGAATATCCCATCAACCTCAGAAACCTTAGCTGCGAGAAAGTCCTGAGTGAGCTTAAACCATTGCGTTACATTGACAAACTTTAAAAATACATGCTGAAGGGGCAAATGGGGCGACGCCGCCACAGGGGGCGGAGGAGGCGTGCTAAACAGAGGGCTGGGCCTCAGAAGCAGCCGCGCCTCCACCAGCAGCACCTCCTGGCGGGGCAAACCCAGCCCCGTGCTGGCCCATCTGCTTTGCGGTGGCGTTGCGAAAGGCGCGGTACATGTCGCAAGTGACGCTCTGGCTGATGCGAGCACGCTTCGTCGACTTGGCGATGATGCGCTTCTGGATGAGGTCGGCGTACTCCTTTGCGGCATTCTCGTCAAGACCCGTGTCAGCAGCACGCTTTTTGAGCTCACGAAGCTGGTCACGCTCCCCTTGCTCAAGGTCGCCTTCACCGGCCTCGCTGCCCATGTCGGAGGCGGCGTCGTCAGCTGCAGGGGATCGCATCCGTTGAAGGTGGAGTCGATACTGCTGCCATTGAGGAAGCAGGATGCCCGAGTACTGCACGAGCTTGGACAGGTCATCGTCGGTGAACTCGTGCAGGTGAGCCTCCACGTAGGTGTAGTCAACCAGCATGCCGCGCAGCCAAGGAACAGTATCAACATCCATGCCCTCGCCCTCGTGGGCGGCCGCTTGGCGGGCGCGAAAGGCGCCGCCAGTCCGTCCGTCCTCACCAGCAGGCGGGGGGGCGCCATCCCCGCCTGGTGCTGGGCCTGGGCGGACGGCACCCGCGGCCGCCTGGGCTTGGGCCTGCCGCTGCTCCCGCAGCAGCCGCTTCGCCGTCTTGTAGGCCACGACATCAAAGGCAGACTTGGCAGTGTCCGCCTCGCGCGTCGCCTTCCTGGCCACCTCGAGCTGCTGCTCAGCCTCGACGTGGTTCCTCTGCATCTCCTCCATCGTAACCTTGGCCTTGTTGTAGCGGTCCAGCCGCCACTGGACCTCCTGATACGCAAGACGCTCCTTCTTGGTGGCCGCCGCGCACTTCTTTGCCAACTCCGTCTGCTCAGCCGCAGCGAGCCGATCAAGCTCGCTCTCCGAATACTCATGAACTTCAGGAACAGGGGGAGGCGCTGCATCACGAGCAACGCCTGCGAGCGCAGGGTAGTGCACAGACCACTTCTGCAACTCTTGGACCAGATGAAGTGGCATAGGCACCGCCGCAGCGCCTGGAGCACCTCCAGCAGGGTCCCACGAGGCAGAAGCAGGACCAGATGCATGAGAACAGTACTGACCACCACACTTGCTGCACGCGCGATGGCCATAACGAGTGAACTCCCAATGATTGCATATTGGGCAGACATGGTAGGAGTTGTCCTTCTCCTTGTTCTTCTTCTTATTGGAAGCAGCGGGAGCAGAGGGCTTCCACACCCATGCGCCTCCGCCGCCGTCACCGCCAGCATGCCAGGGGGCGCGGCTGCGCCAGGCCATGGCCGAACACGGGCGGTGTACAGTAAGTGCCGAAGAGACTGCCAGACCACCAAGGGTCTTGCCTGCCGCGGACTAGCGGTATCCACTTTGTCCCACGGGGAACAATGCATCTTGAGCCAAAATGGCTACGGGGAGGAGGATGAGGATGAGGATGAGGAGGAGGAGGAGGAGGAGGAGGAGGAGGAGGAGGAGGAGGAGGAGGAGGAGGAGGAGGAGGAGGAGGAGGAGGAGGAGGAGGAGGAGGAAGGAGGATGGGGAGGAGGAGGAGGAGGAGGAGGAGGGGAGGAGGAGGAGGAGGGGGAGGAGGAGGAGGAGGAGGAGGAGGAGGAGGGGGGAGTGGGAGGAGGGGGAGGAAGCTCCCGAACCTCGGTGCCGCAACATCTTCCGGAACCCCTGCTGGCTGGGAGAGTACCCGCCGCCCTGCCCGTCGGCAGGCCCACGGGCCTGCCCTGTCGGGCTCGCGTCGCCGCGGCCTTGGCCTGTCCTCCTTGTCCTGTCCTCCTCGTCCTCCTCCTCCTCCTCCTCCTCCTCCTCCTCGTCCTCGTCCTCGTCCTCGTCTTCGTCCTCGTCCTCCTCGTCCTCCTTCTCCTCCTCCTCCTCTCGTCCTCGTCCTCGTCCTCCTCCTCCTCCTCCTCCTCCTCCTCCTCCTCTTCCTCCTCTTCCTCCTCTTCCACAACTGCACAATATGGATACCACTCTCCTCTCTCCCCTGGTGGCGTCCTGGAAAATTCCAGCCCCCCTCCACGTAGGGATTTTTTACACACTGACTTCCCAGGACACGGGTTTTCGCTCTCGCTGCGCTGGCCTCATTTTCGGGCGACCGCTCGTTCCGAATCGCGTTCCCGCTGCAGCGCTGGCCTCATTTCCGCGCTTCCGCTAGTTCCGAATCGTGCTCCCGCTGCAGCGCTGGCGTCATTCTTTCCAGCACCATGCCACGGCATGGTTTGTCGTCCTTCCAAATAGGCCCTAACATCAAAAAGATACCCCCCGACGAAAACGATCGGGACTGATTCAAGTGATTCAAGATTCCAGCGTGGGGGCCAGGCATCCCGCCAGACAAGGGTGTTTTTGTTTGCCTGGACTCGATATCTCGATATCTCGACATCGGGGGGCGGGGGACTCAATACTTCGACATCTCGATATCGGGGGCGGGGACTCGATACCTCGATATCGGGGGGCGGGGACTCGATATCTCGAAATCTCGATACCTCGATATCGGAGAGGGGGGTGTTCGGGGCGGGGCTCGACGCTCGGCGCCTCGCTTCACATCCCAGGACCCGAATTTCCTGATGCACAGCCTGCGGGGCCGCATGGGCCCACTCGGGCCCGCTCGAGCGGGGGCCGTCCGCCGCGCACGGCGTGCCTAAGGACATTTCCGCGTTTCTGTGTTTGGGCCAAGAGGGGTCCAGGGGGGTCGGAGGGGAACCAGGAGGACGATGAGTATGGCAGGAGTGATGACTACCACCACCACCACCACCACCACCACCACCATCATCATCATCATCATCATCATCATCATCATCATCATCATCATCATCATCATCACCACCACCACCACCATCCTCATCCTCATCCTCATCCTCATCCTCATCCTCATCCTCATCCTCCTCCTCCTCCTCCTCATCATCATCGTCATCGTCATCGTCATCATCAACATCATCTTCAACACCGTCATCATCATCATCCTCATCCTCATCCTCATCATCATAACCACCGTCACCATCAACAGCATCATAATCGTCGTCGCCATCATCATCACCATCATCACCACCGTCATCACCACCATCAACATCATCAGCATCATCATAATCATCCACATCATCGCCCTCAGCAGCATCATCATGTTCATCGTCAGCAGAGTTATCACAACCATGTACTACCATCAGCATCGTTATCGTCTTCATCACCATCCCAATCATCATCATCCCAATCATTATCAACATGATAATCATCAGCAGCATTATCATCATCACAATCCCCACCTTTCTCATTTTAATCCTTATCATCGTCATCATCATCATCATCATCATCATCATCATCATCATCATCATCATCATCATCATGAGCATCATCGTCGTCGTCGCTGTCGTCTAGATCCGTCGTCGTCGTCGTCGTCGTCGCCGTCGTCGTCGCTGTCGTCTCGGTCCGTCGTCGTCGTCGTCGTCGTCGTCGTCGTCGTCGTCGTCGTCGGTCGTCGGTCGTCGGTCGTCGGTCGTCGTCCGTCGTCGTCGTCGTCGTCGTCGTCGGTCGTCGGTCGTCGGTCGTCGTCCGTCGTCGTCGTCTCGTCGTCGTCGGTCGTCGGTCGTCGTCCGTCGTCGTCGTCGTCGTCGTCGTCGTCGCCGTCGTCTTCGTCGTCCGCCGCGCCGCCCGGAAAGGGGGGCACCGCAGAAAGGGGCGCCTGCAACAGCCGCAGGGCGCCCGCGAGCAGCCTCGCGAGCGGGCCCATCCGGGCCCGCGGCGGCCAGCCTTCAGAGGTCAGGGCAGCCGACAGGACGGCACGATACTCCAGATTTCGTAATAAAAGGGAGGGGGTCTGGACCCTCCAAGACAAGCCATTTCAGACCCCCCCCCGTGGGAGAACCCTCCAAAACATCGTCCCCAGACCCCCCAGGCCCTCCAAGATAGTTTGGAAGAGACCCCCCCCCGAAATGAGACCCCCCTCCATTTATTACGAAATCTGGAATACAGTCGGGGCGCTGACCTGAGGAACCCTAAATAGGGAACGAGGCCCCTTTTCTCCATAAGTTACACTTCGACTCCCCATCGAAAACCTGAGGACAACCTAAGGCAAGCTGCGAAACAATGAAGGAGCACGGAGCCCCTCCCCAACGAAGAGGGTTCCTTGTTCAGCGCCCCGACTGTACGTCAGCATCGCATGCAGCGCCATGCAAGCGACAGGCCGCATCGGCTCGTCGGAATATCGGAGTCGAATCGTGCGGGGCCGGTCAGGATCGATATCGAATCGCATCGAATCGAAATTGGCCCTGCAGGACGGGAGGGCCAGATGCGCCAGGAGGGCAAGACCCCCCGCACAGAGAAAGAATCGCGACGGTAACGTTTTGGCCGTATTCGGTCTCCAAGGGCCCTCCCTGGGCCCCAGGAGCATCGACAACTGGCTCGGGCTGAGAAACCGGCCCCCCGTTGCAAGGGTCGGGGCGTCCGGGGACCCCGGATGGACAAGAATCAAGACATCGCGGAGCGCCAGATCCGCAGGTCACCTGTTCGCGCCTCGCGCCTCGCGATGCGCGGTTACCTTCGCGCCATCGCGCTGTCGCGCCGCCCCCTTGGAGACGGGCAGCTCTCTGGCCGAGGCCGCGACGCACCAAGCGCGAGTATCTTCGCGCCCCTGGGGGTGACCTAATATTCGCCAGAGGGAAAGGGTCCCGAGGGCCTCGCCGTGAGGGGACCGTGTCCTGACCCAGATCTCTAGCGATGGGACTTTTTTTCAGTCCCTGCGTTTGCCCTCGATCTCGGCTCTGATTCCAATCATGGGGCCCCGGGGCCACCAAACGCGGATCCGGGACGGAGAACTACCCCTGGGGAAGGCGTCGGGAGCTCTGGGACCGCGGATCGAAAATACTAGATCGTCGGATGTGTTGGGAAGGATCGGGGGGACATTCCTGGAGCCACTCTTCACTCATGCGTCGATGCTGCGCCGGACGACTGCCCACGTGCGCCCCAAGGGCGCCCCAAGAGGGCCCCAAGAGGCGATCTCGATGGCCCCAAGAGAGGGGGGGATTCGGAGACCCCCCCTCTTTTGATCGACGCTCTCCCAAAAGAGCCCGCCTCCACCTCCGCCTCCGCCTCCACCTCCTCCTCCTCCTCCTCCTCCTCCTCCTTCTACTTCTCCTCCACTCCTCCTCCTCCTCCTCCTCCTCCTCCTCCTCCGAACCCCCAAAAGAGCCCCAAAAGAGCCCAAAAATGATCACATGACACTCCGCTCCAAGAGGGCCCCAAGAGGACGCAAAGGGGCCCTCCAGAAGACCCCGAGACGGCTGGCAGCGTCTTCGTTTTCCTCCTTCTCCTCCTTCCCCTGGCCGTCGTCCTCTTCCTCCTCCTCCTCCTTCTCCTCCTCTTCTTCGTTCTCCTCCCCGTCCTGTGTCTGATCAGGACGATCTGGCTTGGAGAGTTTCTCGGGGGAATTTGGCGGCCACACCAACTGCCCTTGGACGCCCACCAACCTCGGGCCCCAGCCCCAGAACAAGAGCCTTCTGCACGCCCCCCTCTACGCGCCGCAGCGGTGGCAGCGACGGCGACGGCGCCAACGAGGACGACGCCGACGGCGACGACCACCACCATGACAGCGACGACGACGACGACGGACGACGACGTACGACGACGACGACGACGACGACGACGACGACGACGACCGACGACCGACGACGACCGACGAGGACGAGGACGACGACGACGACGACGACGACGACGACGGCGGCGGCGGCGGCGGCGGCCGCGGCAGTGGCGGCGTGTCAGTTGCGGGTTGCGGGGCGGCCTGCCCAATGCTTGGGCCCCTCGCGCCCGTTGCGGGCGGCCGGTGCGGCGGCGGCGGCGCGCCGCGGTGGCCGACCCGGCGTGCCGGCCGGCCCCTGGCGGCCCGCGTGCCGCAGGCGCGGACGACGCGTCCCGAGACGCGCTCGCGTCGTGTCCGTTTGAATTTCTGCGTGGCCCCGCCGCTCGGCGGCCAGACGCGAGCACGGCGAGCGAAGCGCCCCGAGGCCGAGAACGACGAACAGACTGGCACCGCGGGGGCTCTGGCAATCTTTTATGGCCGTCTGGGGTCGGAGGACCTCCGCAGCTCTCCGCACGGGTGGGGCAGGTGCCGCCCGCCCCTGACCACCAACCCCCCCTTCCAGCAGTGATCGCAGGCCGGATCAATACCAATGAAGGGGCCCTGGGACACACAAATAGATACACACAGATAAAAAGATTCCCCACATTTTCCCATGTTTCTGCGTTTCTGTCTTCCCCTCCACTTCCCATATTTTCATATATTTTCTGGGGAATCGAGGATTAATTGTGTCTGTGTTTCTTTTCCTCCTGAACCAAGAAAAGCATGTTGCTCGTCCACAAACTCTCCCGATCCTCGTTTCATGCGTGCGCGCGCCGGCGAAGCGAGCCCTCCTGCTGGGATCCCAGTGCGACCGCCTGCAACCCTAATGCGATCCTACAAGGGCTGAGTCAGGGTCGTAGGCAGCTCCAATAAGATTACTGCTGTCCGCACCTGTATCCCGATCCCACTACAACTGCCTCAAACTGTAACCGGTGTGTGCTACAGCTGCCTGCAACTATACACGGATCCGACTACAGTTTCTTCCAGCGAAAACATGATCCTTTCGCACCTGCCTGCAGCTGTAAAAGCAACAGGACCGTGCTATAGCCTTTAGCAGCTATCATAGGATAGTTCTTCAGCTGTAGTACAATATTGTTACATCTGCAGACAACTGTTGTACAGGCGTTTTCCATTCCCATTTTGCGATCCAGACGAAACACATCTGCCCAACTGGAGGCCGATCCGCGTGACGGGGTGCAATGTAGATGATCGTGATCGCGGTCGCGGGGGCTGCCTCGTCGCTATTGCCGTCGCCTCCGTCGCCGTCATCGTCGAATCCACGGCGATGCCGCCCGTGACCATTTTGTCAATCCCGATCTCCGTATCCCGATACCGAATGTCAGCCAAAAGCGGGGCGCCCTGCCCGGGCTCCGCGACCTGGCAGGTGAGGTGGGCGCGCCAGTGAACCGTCGCAAGGTCGACCTCTCGAGCGCGGGCTTCGATGATCTTCGCGCCCAGCTGGCTGCTCCCTGCTCCGCGCAAGACCAGCGACGCCACGCCGAAGACGCGCGGTCCAACCACTCCGTTCCGCTTCCGCCCGTGCCCTGAACTCAGGGCGCGCGACTCGACGCCGGCACCGACCGCACGCACGTCAAATGACAGGGCGCAAGTGTCGCTCCTCCGTTGCGGCGTTCTCGCGCGAATCGCGGGCAATGTCGTTATCAGCGCAGGCACTGCGCATGGCTCGGCCGCTCGGCCCATGCACCGGAGGTGCGTCAAATACTAGTGCGCAGGCATCGCCTCGCCATCGACTTGTCAGCGCAGGCGCTGCGGGGGCAATTGACTTGACTATGACTTTATCCTCGCGGGCGCTGCGCGCGGTCAGGCGCAGGCACCGCGGGCGCGTCAAATGAAAGGCCGCAGGCATCTCTCCTCGCTATTGCGCCGTTAGCGCAAGCACCGCGGGCATGGGTTTTTGTTGGCGCAGGCGCCGCCCATGGTGGATCGCAGACACGTCTGGCATGTCAAATAATAAGGTGCAGGCGTCGCCCTGTTATCGCCACTCTGTTGCCTGGGAAGGTTTTGACATGTTTTCTGCCCCTCCTCGTCCCACGCCTGGTTCGAAAATCGCCCCTCCGAACTTGCTTTCGGGCGCTCCATTCAACCTCCCAACGGCCAGAATGGTCCCCAGGACGGGCTACTCAGACAACCAGGACGACACCCAGACGGCTCCAGATGGCGTAAGACGGCTCGAGAGGCTCTCGAGACAGCCTCAAGACGGCCCACAAGAGCTCCAAGAGGCCCGAGGAGGCTAAACCATTGATTTCCTGTCGTTTTTGAAGGATGTTGAAGATTTCGCCGATTTGGGTTTCTGACCACCCAAGACGGCCCAAGAGGCCTCCAAGATAGCTCCAAGACAGCCCATGGGGCCCCCAAGAGGGCCCCGAATTGGACCGAGAGGAACCCAAGATCGCCCAAGAGGCCATGAGAAGGGCCACAGGATGACCCGAAAGCGCTCCAAGAAGGCATCAAGACAGCCCAGAAAAAGGCCTCCAAGACGGCCTCCGAATCAGATGGGCCAGTCGCCTCCTCAGGACGGCTCAAGAAGGCCCAAGAGGCTCCCAAGATGCCACACGATGCCTCCAAAAGGCCCCGCACGAGGCCCCCAGGAGGCCTCTAGAGCCCAAGAAACTTTCCCCTCCTCGTCTTCATGTCCTCCCTCTTCCCAAAGAAAGCCTGGACCCCCGATCCAGTTTTCAACATGAATTCTTCGGAGGCTATCCTTGCCTTGGGAAATAGGATCCAGCCCGCCCCCGGCGATTCAAAACATGACGAAAGCATGAAATGTGCATGATTCATATTTCTGGGAGCGAACATGATTCGTTTTTTTCCATATGAAAACCGTGTCGGGGAAAGGTATGTTGAAAACTCGGCGGTTTCCTTGGGGACATCCAGAGGGATTTTGGGGTATTCGGGCTCCCCCTTCGAGGGCGCGTGTGGGCTCCCGGGTGGGCTCTTTATTTTTTCGTGGGAGCCCGTGGACCTGCGACAAAGCCCCTAGGAGGCACGCTGTCGGAGACGCGCCAAGAGGCGCGCCTGAGAGTGGGGATCCTCGCCCGCACCACTTGACCCCACTTGCCCCACTTGCTTCGGGTCCCGCGCGGGTCGGGGGCAAGTGGGGCAAGTGGGGCAAGTGGGGCCAATTGAGCAAGTGGGGCAAGTGGGCAGATGTCAAATAGCAAACACCGCAGCATGTCCTCTCTCTATATTTATATAGAATCGGAAAACGTCTGCATTCCAGCCTCGGATCTTCTTCCTCTTGGCACGCCCAAAACGGGAACGGGAAACATGTGTACGAGGCCCAACAATAAATTTGGTCCCAAGACGACAGCGGCCGCTGTCGGGCAGCCAAACATGCGCCTCAATGGGACAACGCCCGCGGAGATCCCAACGGCGAGTCCTGTTCAAAGTGGGCAAGAACTGTTGTTTGTCTTCGTTCCCATTATCGTGCACTTACTTAGATGGTGGCCGATCCTTCTCCTCCTCCTCCCCGAGGGGGAACGGGTGTGGGGGGAAATCGACTTATAATCGGCAATACATCGTGGGCAGATCGGCGATAGGCACCTGATAGCGAATCCGCACGTTCCCGGGCAAGATGCGCCTTCAGGACCCTGTCGGCGATGGATGGGCGGTTGGGGGTTGATGCTTCCCCCCCTGAGCCCACCCCCCTGCCGGCGCTCCCTCGCTTTCGGGCCAGACCTCGGCACTCTGGCGGCCCTTCGAAACGATCTGGGCATCCCCGGAACGCTCTCCGCGAGGCGCAGCCGCTGGAGGGCATCCCAAGGCTTGAAAACCGTCGAGAAGCGACGAAACGCCCGAAGACCTTGATCGGAGGTGAGGGGGTGAGATCGAAGTGGAACGGAGAGCCCCCCTACCGGGAAATCGATTTCGGTTTCGTGTTCGTGCGTGCCGTGCGTGCGGGCGAGGCGAAGCTGCGTGGGCGGGCGAGAGAAAGTCTCCTGTGGCTGAGGCGCGGCCGGACCAAATGTCTCCCTTCCGGGCGGCCGGGGGCCCGCGGTGTCCCGCCGGTGTCCCGCTGGTGTCCCGTGTGGCTGAGGCGCGGCCAGACCAAATGTCTCCCTTCCGGGCGGCCGGGGCCCCGCGGTGTCCCGCCGGTGTCCCGCTGGACGATGTTGATGTTTTGTTTTGATGATCGATAGTGAGATCGGTAGTGATATCGATTGTGAGATCGATTGTGATACCGAATGTGAGATCGATAATGAGATCGATAGTGAGTTTGATAGTGAGATCGATAGTCAGATCGAATGCGAGATCGATTGTGATATCGATTGTGAGATCAATAGCGAGACCGAATGTGAGATCGATTGTGGGATCGATTGTGAGATTGATTGTGAGATCGATAGTCAGATCGATTGTGAGATCTATCGATTGAGATCGATTGTGAGATCGGTAGTGAGTTCGATAGTGAGATCAATTGAGTGCGACGTTGGTCCCTCCCCCCCCCTCACCTCCTTATCACCCGAAGGGTGGTCTATGCGGTAAGGAACCGAACTTTATACACCGCTGCTTCTTTCTGGTCCCGCACTAAGATTCGCACAAGGAAACGGATTATGGTGTATGCGGCATCCTGGTGTATACATTTTTTGTTGTTTCCACGGGAAAGCGGGGAAACAAGTATACACCACACCACCCCGACGTCGTCCCCGCCCCTCAAAAGAGTCCTGGGATTGAAACACCGCCCGCCACTGGTACTGTGTATAGGCTCCAGCTTCCGACTTGAGCCTCGAACCTGTCCTCCCCCACTGAGCCCATCGCCCTTCCTCAAATCGGGAGCGGCAAAGAGGGGGGCTTCCAAGAGGGGGGGGGTGCAAATCATGACCAGCGGCATGTGCGCGGCCCAGCGGGGGGGCCTGGGACGTAATAAAATAAGAAGAGGCGCCATGAAATCTGGGGAAAAATCATGACCCGCGCCATGAAATCCACCCCCCCCTAGTCATCACCCCGTCTTTTCCGCCCCCGATCAAACGCTGCCCGTGCTCCTCCCTCGCGCTCCCCGGCCTGTTTCCGGCGCGGGGGCGCACCGCGGCCCGGAGAGGCGCCCGCGCGCGCGCGCCCGGGGCGCGGGGCGCGGCCTCCGCCCCGGGTGAGGAAAGGAGCCCCAGCAGCGCGAGGCCCTCGGGCGTCGACATCGCTCGGACGTCCATTCCCTGCGCTTTTTTCGGTTTCGTGCGTGGTTTCTTCGCCAAATGATCAAGGATGCTCCTCGATGGTCCTCGCCGAGGAAAAAACGCACACGTCCGAGCGATGCCAAGCCGAGAGGGCCCAGGGGGCACGCAGGCAGAGGGGCGCAGGTCCCAGGACTCCCTACATCTCCGCAGCTGCTCTGGACTCTCGTGCTCCCTCCCTCCCTCCTCCTCCCTCCCTCCTCCTCCCTCCTCCTCCTCCCTCCTCCTCCCTCCCTCCTCCCCCCTCCCAACTCCTTCTCCCTCCTCCTCCCTCCTCCTCCCTCCTCCTGCCCCCTCCTGCCACGTTTTCGCACTTTCGCGGGGATCGACGCTTCTTGGTGTCTGCGTGCTCTTCTCCCTCCGGCACGACCTGGGTCACCCGGCTTCCCTGTGGGCGGGTCCGTGTCCCGTCGACTTCGGCGTCAGCTTCTGACACCGCAGGGGTCATGTGCGCGGCCCAGCGGGGGGACCAGGGATGTAATGAAATCAGAAGAGGCGCTATGAAATCTGGGGAATATCATGGCCCCCGCCATGATATCCACCCCCCCTAGTCATCACCCCCCTCTTTGCCGCCCCCGAGAAACGTCGGATCGTTCAAAGGAGGAGACGGGGACGGGCACGGTGACGGTGACGGAGGAGGAGGAGGAGGAGGAAGAGGAGGAGGAGGAGGAAGAAGAGGAGGAGTTGCTTTCCAGGTACTCCTACTCCTCGCTTGTCTGCCTGCGGAGATCCGCACACGGCGCGTCCGCTGGTGAAGCGCTCGAGCTGGCCACCACGCTGATCAGGTGCAGGGCCACGTATCTATCCTCATCCGTGATTCGCCACCATAGTCTCAGCTTCTGCATATATCGTCTGAACGTGTATCCTCTAATATGTGGCCGCCATCCTGGCGGCACGAACTTCGTGAACTCCTCGAGCTGTAGATTGTTGCCTCCAGGACCTCCGCTGAACTGCTGCTGCTGCTGCTGCTGCGCCATGTTGGCGTAGAACAACATATAAAATAGGAAAACTCCGTAGATCTTCATGCGTGATCGCTTCGTGGCACTCGTCGTGCCTCTGATCGTTGTCCGGGATGCCGTTGGCGATCCACTCCTGGTTGATGCTGCAGGCGTGCTCGCCGTGAATGATCCACTCGTGGTTGATGCTGACGGCGTGCTCGCCGAAGTTGATCCACTCGTGTGAATATCTGGTATGGAAATATCTGCCTGCGGGTGCGCGGGCGCGCGCTGATGAGCGCGCGGGGGTGGGCCGGCCGACCGGGGTGGCCCGCGGAGCTGATAGCTCCGCTACCAAAGCGGGCTTTTCAGAACTTGAGCCACAGTATGTTTACGATCAGTGGCTATAAAAAGATACCAGCGTAAAGGATAGCTTGCGTCCAGCGGTGGCGACTAAATATTCTTCTCTAAGAGCCTCTGAAGTTCTACAGTCCTACTGGGATACTGCCTATAATCTCACTGGAGGAGGAGGAGGAAGGGAGGAGGAGGAGGAGGAGGAGGAGGAGGAGGAGGAGGAGGAGGAGGAGGAGGAGGAGGAGGAGGAGGGAGGAGGAGGAGGAGGAGGAGGAGGAGGATGAGGTGAGGAGGAGGAGGAGGAGGAGGAGGAGGAGGAGGAGGAGGAGGAGGGAGGAGGAGGGGAATGAGGAGGAGGACGAGGAGGAAAGAGGGAGAGAAGCGGGAGGAGGGAGGACGAAGGAGGGAGGAGGAGGAGGAGGAGGAGGAGGAGGAGGAGGAGGAGGAGGAGGAGGAGGAGGAGGAGGAGGAGGAGGAGGAGGAGGAGGAGGAGGAGGAGGAGGAGGAGGAGGAGGAGGAGGAGGAGGAGGAGGAGGAGGAGGAGGAGGAGGAGGAGGAGGAGGAGGAGGAGGAGGAGGAGGAGGAGGAGGAGGAGGAGGAGGACTAGGAGGAGGATGGATAATGGAGGAGGGAGGAGGGGGGAGGGAGGAGGGAAGATGAGGAGGAGAAGGAGGAGGAGGAGGAGGAGGAGGAGGAGGAGGAGGAGGAGGAGGATGGAGGAGGAACAGGAACAGAGGAGGAGGACGAGGAGGAGGAGGAAGGAAGTAGGGGGAGGAGAGACGAGAGAGAAAGAGGGAGAGAAAGGGGGTGTGACGGAGGAAAACAACAGGAAGCCAACGGGGCCGCAGCGCCGCAGCGCGCGATCAAGAGGTGCCTCACTGCCTGGCCGCGATGCGCCGCTCCAGAGCGGCGTCCCACGCCAAGAATTGCGCGCTCAGCTCCGTCATCGCGCTGGCCGCGGGGCGGGCGGGGGGGAGGGCCGAAGATTCCCTCTACATCGGGGCCTTGCATGTCTTCACGCCGGGCATTTTCGCACGGTTTCGGGCCCCATGGCCATCAAAGATCGATCCAGCTCGAGAGCTGCCGCAGAAAGATGGGGTCTAGGGCTCCCGTCATGATTTTCTACGCTGTCGCACTTGTTTCGCAACGTCGCATCTCAGGGTCCTCCTCGCCACGACCAAGGTGCTCCGACGTTTCGAACCCGTTTTCCTGTACGCTCCTTCAAGTTTACTTGCATGGAGGGGCGACGACGACAATCCATATAGTCAGGGACGTTTGCCCAGCGAGTCGCGGCGGCGGGCTCTGCGACAAGATATGCGGTGCAAGTATGGAAGTGGCGCCATGTACAATACAGTGGCTAGTCGTTATCATTTGTTCCAATGCGCTTGTAAGATGCAGGTGTCGTCGTGTAGCTGTAGCCGACTAGATACCCGCGTGTTCCCACGACGTCAGTTGGCCCACCTGCGTTTCCCCATCTGTAGTTCTTGAGCTGCGGCTGAAGCTTGCTGCCAAACGCCACCTTCCCCGTGGGAGCAGTTATCCCATGCCGTCTTGGGAGCTTCTCGGGTTATCCTCCGCCTCCGCCTCTTCCTCTCAACACTGCGCCGTGGCCTGGCGGCGGAGAACGAACGCTCGTAGTCTGACCCGTGCAGGCTGATGTCGTCTCGCTCCGCTCCGCGGGGCGGGAGGCCGGGAATAGCTCTGGACGTTGACGCTCGGGGACCAGGACGTGGCCAGCGTGCCGCGCCGAAGCGTGGAGCTCGAGCGAGGACGAGGACCCGTACTGCATGCTCGTGCCGTGAGAGCGCCAGCGTTGCATTCTGACGCCGCGTCGATCGTTCAACCTTGAACGATCTGTGGCTTTTCGATCGCAAGATCGTTTCACAGTGGCCGATTCTGGGCCGCTGGCGGCGTTCAGCCTTGAATTCCCTGGCTGGGGTTGCCGCCGCGTCGATGCGACGCGAACCTGTCATACCTCCTCGCCACGACAAAATCGTTTCGTCGTTTTCGGCCCTTTGGCGGGCCCTGGCGCCGTGACAACAACCGGCTGCGGGATTAAAAGCAGGTCCCGTGGAAGAGGTCCAGACCTCTGGGCGTCCACGCTGCGAACAAAAACCACGACGTCGGAGATCAGGTGTGGAAAGGGCGAGGAAGAATGAGAAGGGCAAGGGCGAAGAGGCGGCGAGGACGAGGGGCAAGATCAGTCACAGCGCCCAATTGCACCATTGGGTCGAATTGGAATCTGCGTCGGATCGGACCACATCGGCACGGAACCAAGATCGAATCAGATCTGGCGCGACAGGGTGCACACCAACGCCATGGAAACTTCGGCCCGCAACGGACCGTCGGAGTACCGGATTCAAATCGGAGCGAGCGTTCCTGAATCGATATCGAGCTCTCCTCCTCCTCCCCCTCCTCCCCCTCCTCCTCCTCCTCCTCCTCCTCCTCCTCCTCCTCCTCCTGGACCGATCGGATCGAAATGGGCCCAGAGGGGAGGGCAAGGCCAACGAGGGGCGGGATGATCCTGCCCCTCCTCCCCCTCCGCCTCCTCCTCCCCCTCCTCCTCCTCCTCCTCCTCCTCCTCCTCCTCCTCCTCCTCCTCCTCCCCCCCCCGTCCTCCGAGAATCCCGTAAAGATTTGGCACGAACAAGCGGGCCCTGAGGGAAAGAGGTCCTGGACCAGCTCTTCGTCCCGAAATCGTTCTCTGACGGCCCAGAGGCCCGTGGAGGGCCCCGCGAGGCCCAAACAAGCAAAGACCTCTGCTGGGGAGACCTTCGAACCCCTGAGCCTGTGGTAGTCCTCCGCCACGGTCGACACGTCCTGGCGGGGGGGGGGGTAGGGCGGTCCGGTCAGGGCCCCGTGCACGGGGACTTTGGCAGACCACGGTATTTGGGCGCCCGAACGAAGTTGCAGCCGCGGGTCACGACAGACTCCGCTCTCCGCTTTCTTGAACTGCAATTTTCAAAGTCCTGGTCTGCAACCTCCTGGCTTCAAGGTTCGTGTGTTGCCGAAGGTGTCCCCAGGATTCCTGGGGGCGCCCAGATTCGGGGGCGCGCAAACATGGATTCGCGATCCATGGATTTGGCGCGCGGTCGCCAAATCCACGGATCGGGGGAGGTGCTCTCCCCAAAGAGCGGCCGGTGCCGCCTCGTTCGGCGGCGGAGATCCGCGATTTCCCATGGAAACGGGACCCGTCGCTAATCCACGCCCCCTTGATCCATGTTTGCGATCGCCTGACAGATGGCCTGACGTCGTTGTTGTTGAACATTATTAATTCTAAAGAATAATTATTGTTGGGGCCCCTGGTGCACGGCCCCCCTGCGCCGCCTAGGCCGCAGCTGCATTTTCATCATTTTCGTGAGGAAGCCTCAGGTAATACGATGTCATCAAGATCCGGTTGTTTTGTTGTAATCCGTTTTCCCTTGCAAAAAACACTATAAAATGACATTTCTTGTTCTAATATAATCAAATTTCAAGAATCCCTTGCAAAAAATAAGGTAAAGTGGACATTCGCGCGCGCAAGACGAAATCCTTCCAAAAGCTTAGTGTTCGGAGCGATTTTAACATAAAAACATCAAAAAACCAATGGTTTTTCAACAAAAAAATGTCAAAATCTCATCCCGCGCGCTCTTGCGGATTCGTAGGAAAACCAACACTTTTTAAACATTTCTGTCAAACGGGCTTTTGCGAGCAACTTTTTCGAACTTCTGCGACAACGGTTGCGCACCTGCCAGGGCCATCATCCCTGTCAAATAATACCATGCGGGACACATTCGTTTTTTCTTCGCGCGCGCACGCCGAAATCTCCAAAAACCATTGGGCTTCTTAAGAATTTTAGCACCGCGCATCATAAAATCACACGAATCGCACCGTAGGTCCTCGAAAAACACCTGCACGACTTTTCAAAATTTCTACCCGCGCGCGCTGTCCGAATCGAACGTAGGCTTAACAACTTCTGTGGGTGTGTACTCCACGCCAGTGTAGTAGCCACGGTCGTCCGCAGGCCACGAAGTGAAGTGTCCGAACGTCATAGGGCGGGAAGCTGGGTGTGGGTGGTGGCGAAGAGTCGTGTGGATATTTGGTAGAGCTTGCACTGCCCCCCCACAAAGTGGGGGTATTGGCTGGCGTCGCATGAAAACCCTGGCACTGGTGAGAACACTGAGCGTTCGGGTAAAGTGATTGTTGTTGTTGTTGTTGTTGTTGTTGTTGTTGTTGTTGTTGTTGTTGTTGTTGTTGTTGTTGTTGAACCTTAATTACTAAACAATTATTATTGTTGGACCCCCTATATTCGCCCTGGCGCTCTCGCCGAGGCGCCGGCCGCATTTCCTCTGAAATTGAGGCTCACGCTCAGGCGTTTTGGGGTTCCGCCAAAACCGGCCCCCCAACAACAACAACGCTCCGGCTCGAGACTTCCTCCTTTTTTACTCGGGCTCGGTGCTCTTGCTCGCCGCCGAGAGCGGCTCCCGGGCCGGACGCCCGGGTCGGCGCCCGTGTCGGCGCCCGAGCCGGCGCCCGGGCGCCGGAAAATCGAGTTCCGAGGCGGCGCCGAAAAAAGGCCATTCCAATACACATTTTCTTTTGAAAATGCTGAATTTCTGCTTCCGGCGCCCAGGAGGGAGGCCGTCCGGGCCGATTCCGGAGCTCGGGCCGCCACCCGGCCTGGCTCCCGGGCCGGACGCCCGGGTCGGCGCCCGAGCCGGCGCCCGGGCGCCAGAAAATCGAGTTTCGAGGCGGCGCCGAAAACAGGCCATTTCAATACACATTTTTCTTTCGAAAATGCTGAATTTCTGCTTCCGGCGCAACAACAACAACGCTTCGGCTCGAGACTTCCTCCTTTTTTACTCGGGCTCGGTGCTCTTGCTCGTCGCCGAGAGCGGCTCCCGGGCCAGACGCCCGGGTCGGCGCCCGAGCCGGCGCCCAGGCGCCGGAAAATCGAGTTCCGAGGCGGCGCCGAAAAAAGGCCATTCCAATACACATTTTCTTTTGAAAATGCTGAATTTCTGCTTCCGGCGCCCAGGAGGGGGCCGTCCGGGCCGATTCCGGAGCTCGGGCCGCCACCCGGCCTGGCTCCCGGGCCGGACGCCCGGGTCGGCGCCCGAGCCGGCGCCCGGGCGCCAGAAAATCGAGTTTCGAGGCGGCGCCGAAAACAGGCCATTTCAATACACATTTTTCTTTCGAAAATGCTGAATTTCTGCTTCCGGCGCAGCCCAACAACAACAACGCTTCGGCTCGAGACTTCCTCCTTTTTTACTCGGGCTCGGTGCTCTTGCTCGCCGCCGAGAGCGGCTCCCGGGCCAGACGCCCGGGTCGGCGCCCGAGCCGGCGCCCGGGCGCCGGAAAATCGAGTTCCGAGGCGGCGCCGAAAAAAGGCCATTTCAATACACATTTTTCTTTCGAAAATGCTGAATTTCTGCTTCCGGCGCCCGGGAGGCCGTCCGGGCCGATTCCGGAGCTCGGGCCGGCACCCGGCCCGGCTCCCGGGCCGGACGCCCGGGTCGGCGCCCGAGCCGGCGCCCGGGCGCCGGAAAATCGAGTTCCGAGGCGGCGCCGAAAAAAGGCCATTCCAATACACATTTTTCTTTCGAAAATGCTGAATTTCTGCTTCCGGCGCCGGGAGGGAGGCCGTCCGGGCCGATTCCGGAGCTCGGGCCGGCACCCGGCCCGGCTCCCGGGCCGGACGCCCCGGACGCCCGGGTCGGCGCCCGAGCCGGCGCCCGGGCGCCAGAAAATCGAGTTTCGAGGCGGCGCCGAAAAAAGGCCATTTTAATACACATTTTTCTTCGAAAATGCTGAATTTCTGCTTCCGGCGCCCGGGAACCCAACAACAACAACGCTCCGGCTCGAGACTTCCTCCTTTTTTACTCGGGCTCGGTGCTCTTGCTCGCCGCCGAGAGCGGCTCCCGGGCCGACGCCCGGGTCGGCGCCCGAGCCGGCGCCCGGGCGCTGGAAAATCGAGTTTCGAGGCGGCGCCGAAAAAAGGCCATTTCAATACACATTTTTCTTTCGAAAATGCTGAATGTCTGCTTCCGGCGCGCGGGAGGGAGTCCGGGTTGATTCCGGAGCTCGGGCCGGCACCCGGCCCGGCTCCCGGGCCGGACGCCCGGGTCGGCGCCCGAGCCGGCGCCTGGGCGCCGGAAAATCGAGTTTCGAGGCGGCGCCGAAAAAAACCATTTCAATACACATTTTTCTTGTGAAAATGTTGAATTTCTGCTTCCGGCGCCCGAGAGGCCGTCCGTGCCGATTCTGGAGCTCGGGCCGGCACCCGGCTCGGCTCCCGGGCTGGACGCCCGGGTCGGCGCCCGAGCCGGCGCCCGGGCGCCGGAAAATCGAGTTCCGAGGCGGCGCCGAAAAAAGGCCATTCCAATACACATTTTGTTTTGAAAATGCTGAATTTCTACTTCCGGCGCTCGGGAAGCCGTCCGGGCCGATCCCGGAGCTCGGGCCGGCACCCGGCCCGGCTCCCGGTGCCGGCCCGGCTCCCGGGCCGGACGCCCGGGTCGGCGCCCGAGCCGGCGCCCGGGCGCCGGAAAATCGAGTTCCGAGGCGGCGCCGAAAAAAGGCCATTCCAATACGCATTTTTCTTTCGAAAATGCTGAATTTCTGCTTCCGGCGCCCAGGAGGGAGGCCGTCCGGGCCGATTCCGGAGCTCGGGCCGGCACCCGGCCCGGCCGGCACCCGGCCCGGCTCCCGGGCCGGACGCCCGGGCAGTTCCGATCGCGCCGAAAAGAGGCCATTCCAATACACATTTTTCTTTCGAAAATGCTGAATTTCTGCTTGCGGCGCCCGGGAAGCCGTCCTGGGCCGATTCTGGAGCGGCTTTGGGCCGGACGCCCGAGCCGGCGCCCGTACGTGGTGCTTCTCTGCTTGTGGCGCCTGCGCAGCTTCCCGAGCCGCTTCTGGAACCATATCTGGGCCGGTCCAGCGATAGGTTTCCTGGATGTGCTGAACCATCCAACTTTTTGAGACTTCTGCGTCTCAAGGATAGGGAGAGAAGACATTAAAGGAGGATCAAAAAGCAACGTCGCTATGAACGCTTGGCTGCCACAAGCCAGTTCTACTTACTTGGACTACTACTACCGTTACCACTACTACTAGTGCTACAGCCGCAACAACAATATCATCAACTGCTGCTACTACAACTACTCATCCTTCCTCCCCCTCCTCCCCCTCCCTTCTCCTCCTCCCCCTCCCTATCTCTCTCATCTCCCCCTCCTCTTCCTCTTCCTCTCCCTCTGAGATGCGGGGCATGCGCAAGGCGATTGCGAAGGCGATGTGCCGTCCGAGCTATGGATGTTGAAGTTCCTCGGAAGAGGTGGTGGCCAAACCTTCTTGGGCGGGATATCTGGGTGAGGGAATATCGGATCCCGCATGCCAGAAAAATCCCCCATGATGGGGTTTGTTATCCAGATGGATGCATGTGTCATGTGGAAGCATGGCGCATGAGGGTAAAATGATTGTTGTTGTTGTTGTTGTTGCTGTTGCTGTTGCTGTTGTTGTTGTTGTTGTTGTTGTTGTTGTTGTTGCTGTTGTTCTTGTTGTTGAACTCTCATTTCTGAGGAATAACTATTGTTGATCTTCCCCGCCCGGTGCACATTGTTTTTTCGATTGAAGTGCCCTTGCCGGGGCTCGCACACTGTCTTTTATCAGGGAAAATATTGAAGGTCAAACTGTGTCGTTGGCCCCCGATTTACAACAACGATGGCTCCCGCCTGATACTTCCCCACAATTTATTGAAGAATCGCGCTCTCGCTTGGGACTTCCTTGCAATTTACCACCAGATCGCGGCTCCCGCTTGATACTTCCTTACAATTTATTGAAGA